TTTTCGAGACAGGGTTTCTCTGTGGCTTTAGAAGCTGTCCTGGAACTAGCTTTTGTAGACCACACTGGACTCGAACTCAGAGATCCACCTGCCTCTGCCTCCCAAGTGCTGGGATTAAAGGCATATGCCACCAACGCCGGGCAATAATGGCTAATTTTTAAACTGTGTGTGTATAAGTTTGTAATGGTCAATCTTCCTTATCAACTTGATTGGCTATATAATCAACTAAGAGACATGCATGCAGGTGGGTCTGTGACAGTATTCCCTGGAAGGATTAACTAAGGGGGAAGACAGTTTCCCAGATGGGCAGATATAAAGATGTCTGAATGAAAAGCAGTGCTGTTTTTGCCTGCTACCTTTGTTCCTTGCTGGTGAGTACATCTGCCATGCTGCTGCCACTACTGTCATCCTTCACTGACATTGGAGTCCAGCTTCTCTGACCTTCAAATGTGGACTAAAGACCCACAGCTCTCCAGAAATCCCCCAGATCTTCAATGTCAGGCTGGGATTGCTGAGGCATCTAGCCATGGCGACTGATAAGGTTCTCAGCTTCTCGAGTGGGCAGGCAGCCACTGATGGATTACTCAAGTGTCCATGATGCAAGTCAATGTCATAAACCCCTGTTAGGATATATATTCATTCTCCTAGTTCTGTTTCTCTTGCAAACCCCAACTAATACAGTGTGTGTGATGCATGGAGAGAGAGAAAGCATAACAAAGTATAAGAAGATTAAAAGAAGGGCTGGAGAGATGGCTCAACGGTTAAGAGCACTTGTTGCTCTTGCAGAGGACCTGGGTTCCAGTCTCAATTCCCATATCTGTTGGCTCAGAACTTCCTGCTCCAGAGGATCTGAGACTCTCTCTGGCCTTCACAGGCATCCCTGGGGATATACACATTCACATATTCATACAGACACATAAAAAAATAAATGTTTTTTAAAAGTGCAGACAATAAAGAACCTCATTCAAAACCAAAAGTTCTGGTAAACATTTTTAACCACTGAGCCATCTCTCCAGCCTCTGATAAACATTTTTAAAAGACATGTTCCAGCGGGGTGAGGTGGCCAACACTTGTAATCCCAGTACCGGAGATGTGGAGACAGGAGGGCCAGAAATTCAACACCATCCTCAGCTACTTAAAGATTCAAGAGTTCAAGTTCAGCCTGAGCTACCAAAGAACTTGTCCCCAAAACAAAAACTATTCCCACCAATAAAAGAAAATAACAAACAGACCCAGATGAGGTTACTATAACTGCTTGAAGGGAGTTAGTCATTGGCAAGGAGGTGAAGGCTATCCAGGCCTTCTTATCATTGCACCTCCAGGCACCTCATGCTTGAGCAGGGCACATGTAGGAAGTGATGTGCACACATTTCAAATAGCAAGGGAATAAACTAAACAAAACAGAGAATAACTCCCCTCCTGCTGTCCCCAGAGAATCATTAGCAGGTCACAGCCTCACCTGCACACAAACATCCATGGGCAGAAACACTTTTCTCCTGCTACCATGATAGGGTGTCGCTCTCAAGCATGTGACAATTCCTTGTGCCTTTCCAATATGGCTAGCAGCATGGTCTGCATGAAGATCCTTCACACCTAGAATGACAGACACCAAAAGGGGTTGCTCTATTGTCCCTGAAGCATAGTAAATCAAGAGAAATAGCATGTGACATCATCAGAACCCAGAAAAAGTATTTATCCTGTTCAACATCTGGAAAATAGGATTTATGAGGGAAAGTGGATGCCACGGATGAGCCAACCATCTTCCTACTAGCAGGTATCCAAATGTACACTCGTTAACTCTCCAACTTTAGCACACCAAGAACACATTGAGAATTTAATCAGATTTTATGAGGAACTAAGTGTTTATTTCTTCCCTCGAAACAATTTCATAACAATCTTACTTTTAGGGTGCAGCAGGACAGGCCTGGGACATTCAACAGGGACTGTATTCTGTGGTCTGACATAAAGACAGATCACTCTCTTCAAATAAGATACTATTGTCCTTGACCCCAATAATCTTCTCCTTATAATAAGATGCCACCAAGTTGGAACAAGGTCAGAGGATAAGTGCCATTTCAAATATTCTTAAAGGAGAGGAGAAAGAAATCTCATAAAATTGTGTAAGTATAGTTTTATTCCATCCCTCCCTGAAATGGGGTAGAATTTTTGACAGGGAAGATTGAAGTACAGCCTCTCCAAGTCATAGGAGATGCTGCAGGAAAAAGGAAATCCATCGGCACTACCAGATTATTAACCTAGAACACTCACGAGTGCCTCCCGCTTCTGTGAGAGCTGAGCACTTGGGAGTCTGCACTCCGAAAAGAATATAAATGCACAAGTGTAAACGGAGTTCTTAATTGGCCTAAAGAATAAAAGCCTGGAGTCAGATATAGAGGAAAATGCTGAGAGATCCGAGAGGAGAAGGAGCAAGCCAAAGCTACCTTTACCTCATTAGCTTCCCAGCAGAAAAGAGAGCAAATTCCTGTTTCTTCCCGCTTATATCCTCTCTCTGCCCAGTCATCTCACTTCCTGTCTGTCTGTACAGACCTCCAGACCTCTATGGTTAGCTAGTGGCAAGCTCCATCCTCTGATCTTCAGACAAGCTTTATTTGTACAAGCAAGCTATCACCACACACGGGTAATAGAGATGTTCTCTTTCTTCCTATTAAAAAACAAAAGTTAGCTAGTGGAGCATATCTTTAATCCCAGCACTCAGGAGGCAGAGGCAGGAGGATTTCAATGAGTTCAAGGATTGCTTGGTTTACATACTGAGTTCCAGATTAGCCAGGGATACATTGTGAGACTCTGTCTCAAAAACAAGTAAATAAAAGTTGTACCTAGGCATGATAGTGCATACTTGTAATCAAAGCCCTTAGGGAAACTGAGGCAGGAGGACTGCCTCTAGTTTGAGACCAGCCTAGGCTGTACAGTGAACCCCTGTCTCTAAGGGGGAAAACTGTTACTTTATGGACAATACAGAGGAAACTTCCAAGTGCAGTCTGAGGCATGAAGGAGAAAAGCATCTTACCCAGAACTTCTAGTGTCAAGTAAAGAAGAGAGCTCTGAGTGTTCTCAGCGTAATTCTCAAGCTCCTGGATACTGTGATATGCTTTGTCATCCAGATTCTTTTCCTGAAGTCAAAGAAAATGCAAATGAAGATGCTGAATTATTACTCTATAATGAAAATGCTAATTTTTTAGCCTTAAATAAGAATGTGTCACTCTTTTCCAGTCAAACCAGAAGAACTCAGAGGTGAGAAGTCATTGGTTTAGCTTTATTTTATAATTTAAACCTTTCAAATACCTACAGAATATGGCATTTAAAATGGTTTATTAGGGTTTTTCATGACAATGAGATACAACTGCTCCTGGAAACACCAGTTACTTCAGAGAGGAAGATGGGCATTGAAGAAACTCGTTATCCTTTTGGGGTCTTTGATGGAGTTGAAGACAGATAGTTATGATTATGGTTTTCCTTAGTTATAATAAAAGATAAGTTACACATAAAACTTTAGACTCACAAAAATAGGATAGATGATAGAATATTTTCTTTAAATTTTGCCAAATATTAATGGACTACATATTGTAATTATAATTCTTGCTTGATAACTGTTTTGTTCTATATAATTTTACTATGTTAAAGTTAAAACCTTCCTTTTTAATTAGACTGAAAAGTAGAGATGATGGGGGCTGTCCTGTTGCTGTGAATATGTTTCTCTTATTAGCTGATGAATAAATGCTGACTAGCCAGCAGCCAGGCAGAAAGTATAGAAGTGGGGCTACCAGACTAGAATTCTGGGAAGAGGAAGTTAGAGAGAAGCTGCCAGAGAGACACCATGTAGCTACTGGGAAGATAAGAAGCCAGGCGTTCTCTGGTAAGATAAGGCCATGTAGAAATACATAGATTAATAGTTAAGGGCTAATAATTAAGAGAGAGCTGGCTGGTAAGAAGTCTAAGCAATTGGCCAAGCAGTTTATAATTAATATAAGCCTCTGTGTGTTTATTTGGGACTGAAGGGTGTCGGGACCACGCCAAACAGAGACCTCCATCTTCACTAAACAGATTTGCTTTGTGTACAATAAAGATTAAAACATAGATAGGCATGGCACTGGAGTTGTAGCTCAGTGGCTACAACTTGCTGCTCTTGCAGAGACCCAGGTTCTGTTTTTAGCATGTCAGGGGATCCAATGTCCCCTGACCACTTCAGGCATACCTACACATGCTGTATGAAACATCCATGCAGGCAAAGTACTTATACATATAAAATACTTTAAATATATTTTTCATTCTATGTAATCTTTTAAAAATTCTATATAAATGCCACGCCAGCCAGGGCTACATGAGACCCTATCTCAAAAAACAAGAATAATTCCCCACCCCATCAAAGTCTTACATATCAGTGCTTACAAATAACCTCACAAAATAAGGCTCAAGAATAGCTGGAATGCACAACCCTGCAGATATGGAGCTTCCCTTCTTCAGTTCTTATAGGTTGCTCATGTGTCTCCTCTGCCTGTTTTATTGCTGCGTTGAGAGAGTCTTGATGTATGTTAGGTATTAAACACTTATTAGATAAGTAACTGACTATGTATTTCCCATTCTCCTGGGGTTTTCAGCCTTTTGAAGCTTTTAATCTTGATGAATTTTAATTTATCTCTTTTCTGTTTTCTTATCTATGCCTTTGATATCATATTTAAGAAACTCACCTAATTTTAAATCACAAAGATTTACAGTTTACATCAATGTTTTCTCCAAAGTTTTGTTTTGGGCTCTTTGATAGGCCATCAAACTAAATTGCTGACTTTCAGATACACTGTGAGGCAGGGGTCCTGATTCAGTCTATTTACTTATTTAGCTTTAATATTTTTTAGACAGGGTCTCATGTAACCCAAGCTACCCCCTAACTATGACTGTACCTAAGAATGGCCTTGAACCCTCACCCCACATGTCCAGTGCTGGAGTACAGACCCGCACCACAACAGCTAGCTAGAGTCCTTTTTTTGCAGGCGTATACACTGTGGTCCTGGCACCATCTACTGAGAACACCACCTTTTCCCACTGAATTGTCCAGATACTCTTGTCACTCAACTGACTATAAAAATATGGTTTGTATATTCTCTTAATTCTTTTTATTAATTCTTTTTATAACTGATTGATATAATTTCGTGTTTGAATATATGACAGCAGGTGTAATTGTTGCACATGGACATGTGTAGGTCAGAGGACAACTTTGGGAAGTCAGTTCTCTCTTGTCACTTTGTGGGATCAAGGGGTCAAACTTCTGCAGCAAGTAATTTTACTTGCTGAGTCATCGTGCCTGCCCCTGTACTCTATTTTTATACCACTCATCTGTATGTCCATCCTCTGCCAATACCACAGTTTGATGACAACTTTACAGCTATGTCATATAAACAGCTTATTAACTGAACAAGGTGGAGAAGACAATGATGAAGGAGGTGAAACTTAGATGAGGCCTGCATCAAAAATGCAGCTTCCAGCAAGTTGGACATGATGGCACACACCTGTAATCCTGCATCCCAGAGGTGCAGCAGGGTGATCTATCAGAAGTTCCAGAACAGGGTGGCTACATGAAACCTGGCCTTTAATATAAAAAAAGATAACTTGAGGCCTTTAGTTTTACCTAGTCTCCCTTTAGCCACTAAATGTTGGGGATGAGTATGAAGGCACACTCTTGTAACCCCAGCACTCAGGAGACTGCTTCAAGTTCAGGATAACGGGACCACTAGTGAGTTCCAGGTCAGTCAGAAATATACAGTGAGATCCTGTCTCAAAATATTTTAGGGCTAGAGAGATGACTTGGTAGTTGAGAGCACTTGCTGGTCTTTCAGGTGACCCAGTTCGATTCTCAGCATAATGTCTACCTGACTAAAACCATCTAACTCCAGTCCCTGAAGATTCAACACTTCTCCTGGATTCCTTGGGCAATGCATACACATTGTGCTCAGGTATACTTGCAGACAAAACACCTATACACATAAAATTTTAAAATCTTAAAAAATAGTAATAACAACTTATGGGCCAGGGATGTAGTCCAGTGGGTAACATCCATAAACCCAGCACAGCATGAAAACTAGGCGCAGTGGCACAGAAGACCTGTAATCATTACAAGCAAGAGGGTCAGAAGTTCAAGGTCATCCTGCACAAGTGAGTTCAAGGCCAGCCTGGGCTTTATGAGACCCTGTCTGAAAAAAAAAAATGAATAAGTAAATGTACAGTGTTCTGACAATGGTGTGTTATTAAATATTGGGCTGAGGAGGACACTGACCCAAAATATATAAAAAAAAAAGACTACAAAAATGACGCCAGGGCCCAGAGAAGTAGCAGCTGGGCTGGGTCAGAATTTAGCTCTGAGCAGTTAACAGTGATCTCCACCCCTGGGACTTCATTGTCTTTACTTCTTGGACACATCTAAGCAACAGGACAGATGTGTGACCAGCCTTACTAAAGGTTACTTGAGCAGTTGGTGGCATCAAGAAATGAGTCATTTTTAAGGTATGGTGATCACATGTAGTTATGTTCTTCAAAGGCTTTCTTCTACTTGCTTTCTTATCCACTGACTTAGTTTTTGTAGTGTTAGGGATTAAATCTAGCATTATAAAGCTTTACCACTGAGACACCTCCCCAGTCTAGAAAGTCTTTTTTTTTTTTTTAAAGATACATATGCATTTGCTGATTAAATGATGCAATTCCTAATCAACCCCTAGTTTACTTTTTGAAAACATCCAATGGAGTTAATGAAGAGAGTGAGAATGTACATGAAACAAGATCAGATATCTGGGCATGTGACCTATGCCTGTAATGCCTGTAATGCCTGTAATTACAGACCTTGGAACACACACACACACACATACGCATGAACGCACATGCCAAGGTGCTGGCCTTCTGTCTAGGTTCTAGTCTCGACCTGACAGGCCGTAGGGAGTGGGGTAGCAGGTATGACATGTAAGAATACCTTTGTTCTCTAAATTTCCTTCCTCTAAAAGATTAACACACATATAAAAATTTTTCCTCCACAAATAATTAACCTAAGGATCAAGAAGGGAAAACACTTAAGACTTGGGCAATTCCAACTTACTCTTTCATCAATGATTCTCAAAAGCCATCTTTTAGTTAGATTGTGTCTCTTGACAGCCTAAAAAAAACGAGAGTGTTGTAAATTTTCAGAAGGTACTAGAAATGACTTTCAGAAGGTACTTAAATGAACAAAATACACTATGCAATGCAATGTTAGGTAAGAGAATACTTGTTACAACTCATCAGACAGGCAGCTCTGCTGACAAGACATCAGGAGAAAAGCAATGATCCAGGAATGACTCTGTATGGCTTCCCACAGCCTTTCACTCCGCTGTACTGGTACACATCTAATGATTCTATGTTCTTCCTTTTTCTTCTTTTTCAATGTTAGGTGCCTTCATTTTTTTTTTATTTTTGATATTAAGATTAATGACAATATTTCTCCCTTTCCTCCCTCTAAACCCTCTCATTTGCCTGATTACACTTTTAAATAAAATCAAGAACTCAGTAGTGAGCTGCCTGCTGCCATACCTGACTTCGGTGCTTACATACTACATTCAGTCTTTCACAGCACAGAGTCTCATTAGCAAAAATAACCACTTCCCCCTGAATGAAAAGCACCTAAAACCCCGAGAACAACAGGAAATGGTTCCACACATTTGTAATCCCAGTACTTGGGAAGCCCAGGAAGGAGGATCATCGTAAGTTTGAGTCTGAGCTATAGAGTAAGGCCCAGATAGATAAATAGATAGATAGATAGGTAGGTAGGTAGGTAGGTAGGTAGGTAGGTAGATCTATAGACAGACAGACAGATAGATGGCAGTGACCGGGTGGATAAGTGTCTCTCCAGAAGTGATACCAGGAGGATACATTTTTCTATTAAGCACTCCATCAAGAATTCATAACCTACATCTAATGAGAAAATATTAAGACAAATCCAAAATGAATGTCCAGAGAGGAAAAAAACAGTTAAGACTTGACTGTATTTCTTAAGAAAATGGCTGGATGGTGGTGGTGCATGCCTTTAATCCCTGCACTTGGAAGGCAGAGGCAGGCGGATCTCTGAGTTTGAGGCCATCCTGGTCTAGAGTGAGTTCCAGGACATTCAGGGCTACACAGAGAAATCCTGTCTTGGGGGGGGGGGGGAAGGAAAGAAAAAGAAAGAGCAAGTGGGAGGCATGGAGTTGGGGGAGTAGAGGGTGGGGGGCAGGCTTTAACTCTATGGTAGAGTTCCTGCCTAGTATGTGAGAAGTCCTAAATTCAGTCTTCAGTACCACAAACAAAAACCAAAAAACAAAAAACAAAAGTCTATGTCACTTGGGGCATGAGGAGGCACACTTGTAATTTCAGCACTTGAGGTGCTGAGGCAGGAGGATTGCTTCAAGTTCTAGGCCAGCCTGGGAATACAGGGTGAATTACAAGTCATCCTGGCTATAGAGAGAAGCATGGGATGGGGGTGGTAGGAGTAAACTTAGTGAATTTTCAAGCTGTTCTCGTTATAGGAGAGACTTGTCTCTAATCCTTTTGGGATACAGAGGGGTTGCATGCTTTCTTTTGAGATGGGTCTTGTCACGCAGCCTAGGCTGTGACTTCCAGCCCTACTGCCTACACCTCCTAGGCGTTAGGATTAGGGTTAGCACTATTACACTAGGCAGGGAACTATCCCCATTATCAGCAAATCCCAAAATACTTACTGTATTACATTATGGAAATGATGTAACACTCTCAAATGAGTTAGGAAGAATTATTTGTGTGAATAATATACATACACATATACACAAACACACACGTGTGTGTATGCACATATTAAGAGGGAGGAAACGGGAGAGACAGAGAATAAAGGTGGAGAACACAAGAGAGGAAGAGAACTTGTAAATGATTAAACGGGGCTGGGGATACAGCTCAGGGCTTGTTCTAGTTTGCTTTCTGTTGCTGTGACAATAAAATATCTGACCAGAAGAAACAGAGGGAAGAAAAGATTTAGTTGGCTTACACTTCCAGATCACAGTCCATCACTAAGACAGTCAAGGCAACTCCACAAGCAGGAACTTGAAGCAGAAATCACAGAGGTGTGCACTTGTTGGCTTGCTCACTGCCTTCTACTTATCTGGATTTTTTTTTTTTTTGGTTTTTTGAGACAGGGTTTCTCCTTGGCTTTAGAGGCTGTCCTGGAACTAGCTCTTGTAAACCAGTAAAGTCTCAAACTCATAGAGATCCACCTGCCCCTGCCTCCTGAGTGCCAGGATTAAAGGTGTGTGCCACCACCATTCGGCTTTATCTGGATTTCTTATACAGTCCAGGTCAGCCCAGGATGGTACTGAACACAGTGGGCTGGCCCTCCTAAATCTAGACAGTGCCCATGGAAATACCCACAGCTCAGTCTGAAGGAAGCTTCAATTGAGGTCACAAAGATTAAATTCAGGTTGCAGGGCTTGGTTTGGAAGCTTTTACCTGTTGCGTGGTTTTTTGTTTGTCTGTTTTGTTTTGTTTTGTTGAGACAGGGTTTTTCTGTGTAATCTTAGCTATTCAAGAACTTGCTCTGTAGACCAGGCTGGGCTTGAACTCAGAGGTCCGCCTGCCTCTGCTGGGATTAAAGGCATGCAGCACCACTGCCTGGCGTCACCTGCTGCTCTTTTAGAGAGCCACAACACACATTCTCCACACTGAGAATGTTTCCTTGCACACAAGATTAACACTTTCCTTTGCTCGGTCTGGATCAGAACTTGCAAAAGAGGTGCTTGTCAGACAGGGCAGAAACATTTCTACCATCGCATCACACTTGGTTTCCATCCTGCAACCAGTTGTGTAGAAAACATAAGTAGTTTATAATATACAGGTAAAATTCCTGTTTTCCACTTAAAAAAAAAAATACACGGCCCAGCAAGATGCCTCAGGAGGTAAGCACTCCTGCTGAGCAAGCCTGAATACCTGAATTCACTGCTTGGCATCTGGCAGTGGATGAGGAGAGCTGACTTGTCCTCTGACCACTGTGTGTGCTCTGTGACATTCCAACATTCCTCTCTCCCTATCCCTCTCCCACCCACCCCCCACACCACACATATACAAAATAATAAATTAGATGTAATTAAGTTACATTTAATTCCATTTAAAAAAGAAACATAGGGTCTGGTGAGATAGCTTAATCAGTAGAGTGTTTATACCCAAGCATAAGGACCTGAGGCCCCTCCCAAAACCCACAGGGAAAAGCTAGAATGGAGCCACATGCTTGTAATCCCAGCTGCAATCCCTGTGGCCCACTGGCCACTCCA